TGAAGAGATTTTAGGCTACGCCAAAGAGAAAACTAATTCAAAAATAATCCTCAATTCCCGTTGGCTGGATTTTTTTGATCGATCATACCGTTCAGGCTAATAGTATGCACGGGAAGGTCTATGACGTTGCTGGATCTTTCTGATCTAGCAGCAGTATTTATGTAAATTGACTGAAATATTATGTAAATCAGTTTGTTTATACTTTGTTTATGCCTCTTGTGGAATGTGGGCTTTATATATTGATCAGATACTTAAGAATACCGTATTATTTATGCCTAGTTGTCTAGTATATTAAAACTACAAGCACATGTCAATGTGGCATGGCTTTGTGTAATACGATCTCTACAACATGTATACAATAAAAGTAAAATGCATCATGTTGCCATTGTGAATACTTATTCATGGCACATGTTTCTGCTACGAATAAAACTCGAGAAGCAGTGAATTAAACGTGGAAATTCTCTTCCTGCGAATTAACAATCAATCAAATATTTTATAAAACTACATCGCTATATTTGAAAATCTTTTGACCATTCATGTAAATTAAGGACAAAATATGGAGTTATGTGTTTCCTAGGCATGCTGACGAGACCGGAATTGGGCGAAACAGTCATTTTCACGTAACATTTTTTCGTAAAACTGGATACAAATTAATTCGCTTTGCGACCCCCCCCCCGTTAAAACACCCCCCCCCCCCCTCCCTTCGATGTTCAGCAACGAAATTTTTGACTAACGTACGAAAAATCCTAGATCCGCCCCTGCTTTAACACAACAAAGCAGGGGCGGCCCAACCCTTAAAATAAATATTAAATTAACTAGAACAATATCTCTGCCCTGGCTAAAAGCCTTGTCAATTAAATTTATAGACAAGAATTTCCCCCTATATACATTCTACTTTTCATAACTTAGACCAGGAACATATTAATCTCTGGAACAATCTCTGCCTATGTACTGATCTACATTAGCTCACATAGTAAAATAACAGGAATGAGAAATATAAACAACTAGTCTGATACAAATGTCCGATGTATATTTCATATAAAACTAAACTGGAATCTGAATGTCCTATATACAGTATGCATAAACTTGCTGCATACTCGAAGCCGGCAACAATATTCAGATTGAGACATGAGTGACCATGTGATCTTCGAGATCTCTTGGAACATCAAACACAACATCGCAAACACAGCAAACATATCCAACACCAGTTGGTTCTGTTGCTTCAAGTTCTTGACATAAACCACATTGATAGTTCCCATCATTGCCATGGTATCTTGCTATATGTTGAACCAATGTCATACAATTAGAAAACCGCCTGTTACATTTGTTACAAGCGTACTTTCCAGTGTTTTTATCCTGAACAAAATGTTCTTGCAAATTTTGTGGTTCAATAATCTCCATGTGGCAACTATTGCAAAACAAATGCGCCTTTTTGTGCCAATTAAGACTGTTTAATTGTATAAATCTCTTCTTGCAAACGTCATATTCATAAGGCTTTTCTCCAGTGTGTGTTCTTTTATGTGATGCTAAATTAGATGAATGTCTAAAACTCTTCTTGCAAACTTCACATTCATAAGGCTTGTCTCCAGTGTGTGTTCTTTTATGTGATGCTAAATGACCTGAATGGTTAAATCTCTTCTTACAAACATCACATAGATAAGGTTTGTCTCCAGTATGTCTTTTTTTATGGTATACCAAGCTGTTCGAATATGTAAACTTCATCTTACAAACATCACATTCATAAGGCTTATCTTCAGTGTGTGTTCGTCTATGTGATGCTAAATTACCTGAATGTTTAAATCTCTTCTTGCCAACTTTATATTCATAAGGCTTGTCTCCAGTGTGTGTTCTGTTATGCACAGCTAAATGATCTGATCTCTTATATCTTCTCTTCTCACAAAGATCACATTCAAAAGGTTTCTTTTCATTTCGTGTTCCTCCTTGATTCACCGAGCTGCCTGATGTTAAAAATCTCTGCTCAGAATGATCAGACATTTTTATTAATGAATTATAATCAAAACTATATCCAACTATATGTCTATATCCGACCCAAAATCAATGAAATTATAATAGTATAAACATTCGAATCAAAATGAACTGAATTTTATTTTTATTTCGGTATTGTGCGCTAGATGATATCAATTGATGCTGCCACTTTCATGGAAATTTCCAATTTTTGTATCTGCGAATCAGAGTATAATTATGCAATTAGTACGGAAGCCGTGAAGGGACTTCAGACTTCTGACTTCAGACTTCAGACTTCAGACTTCAGACTTCTGACTTCAGACTTCAGACTTCAAACATTGGTTCTGAGCTTCGCTAATAGCCAACATTGCTTCTGCGAAACTGGCTAATATTTAAGGCACTTATTCAGTCAAAGCTATTCAAACTAAAGTTAAAAATGGTCAGAATGATTTAGATTGCAAATGCAGACTGTTGGAATGTGTCAGTGAGTTCTGACAGTTCTTTGCAGGTTTAAACGCAGAACGATAAAACATAATACTATTGTTTGTAGAAACACCACGTAAATTTATTATTGCAGTAAATTTATTAACTTTATTCTGTAAATTTATCAAGTTAAGTATAACACGCGCTTAAAACTAATGCGTATAATATACCACTTGATGTTATGACTAAATTCAAAACATTTCGAAACGTTTCTCAATCGGCAAACAAACTTAAAAAGTATGTTTAGTGTTTTATCTGTAAAATAATGCTAAAGTGAAGAGATTTTAGGCTACGCCAAAGAGAAAATTACGTCTGAAGTTCAGTAAGTTTTGCTTATATTGCTCGGCTTAAATATGGCGTCAATTTTAAAGCATCATTCATAATTGTATTTTAATTGACAATTTTTAACTATGATTTTATGTTTCTTAACCGGCAGATGCATTTAAAAAGGTAGCTAACTGTATAAATTAAAGAATAAAGCAAAAACAAAGTGATTCTAAGAGGAGGAACGCCGAGGGACGGCGCTAACCCTCTTCGAGGGGGGGGGGGGTGAGTGATCTTTTGCCGACTGTTGTTTGGTAATTTAGCCTATAGTGAGGGTCCTGAAGGCCTTCCACCTGAAATTTTGGCAAAATCCCAGTCCCAATTCGATTTTGCTAGGAAATCCCAGTCCGCGGAGTTATTGAAATCCCAGTCAATAAAAAAGTTTATTTATCGTTGTAGAATAAACAAGATCTTTTAAGCCACCGTGTGTGCAAGTGGCGGACATTTTATGAAATATTGGGGAAAGGCACGGAAAATTTTTAAATTTGAATCCCGGAAATGGCATTTGCATCATTCTGAGAAACGCATAATCAGAGAACCCAAAATTCCTGTCAGCATCCATTTTGCAGCCCTGGAAAAGTCAAAATCTCGGCATTTCTTAAAATCTGTTCCACGTCTTGGAGCACTATTAATCACGCATTTACGAATCATTGAAATCGGAATATAACTGGAACGTTACCTCCAGCCGGAAAATTCGAAAGTTGGACCAAATTTTAACTCCAGACGCGCGAAATTTGATCTTCAAACATCTAACGTATATACACAATACACAATACCCGTCAGTTTTTAAGCCTTACACCGTAGTATGTTCACTTAATCGAACTACGAATCGAATTCTATAATCGCTGACATTTTAAAACCCGTCAGCATAAAAATTCTTACTTTGGTTGAATTAAGGTGGGCAAAAATTTGCATTTAGCCCGGCATTGCCGAATGCAGACCTCGTTTTCGAGGACTGATTTTGCCACGTCTTGCTGACGTAATAAGTGATACAGCCCGCTTGACTGCTTCGAAAAATATTTTAAACCTAATTATGTTCATGCTCTGACGATGGGAAAGTTGATCATTCTTCTTGGAGACCTAAACTGCGATATGCTTAAGCCCACACCTGGATCAGCGTCTTTGATCAAGACGACAAAAGAACTCAACCTTAACCAGTTAATAAAATCACCAACAAGAATTACTGAATCCAGTCAGACCCTCGTCGACGTTATTTTCGTATCCTCGCCAAGACTAGTAGTCAACAGCGGCGTCATAGAAACCTGTATCAGCGATCATTTCCCTGTGTATGTATCACTAAAACTTAAAACCGACAAATCTCCACCAAACTATATCACTACCCGCAGCTACAATAAATACGACCCTGATTTGTTCGCGATCGATCTGGCATCCAACCGTGATCGTCTTGTTTCCATTTTCAGAATGGACAATGTTGATGAAAAACTAACCATTTTTAATGAAATATTTTTAAATACATTGGATAAACACGCCCCAGTAAAGACCATAAAAGTACGCGGAAAATCTTGCCCATTTATCACCACGGAAATAAAAGCATCCATGATCAAAAGAGACCAGCTCCACAGTCTTTTCAGGAAAACACGTGATCATTATGATTGGCTTAATTTCAGAGAGGCCCGCAATTTTACAAAAACCGCACTTGTTAATGCACAGAAAGAATATGTACTGAAGGAAGTTCAGCAACACAGAAACAATACTGGGTCACTTTGGAAGGTAATTAAAGAAAATATAGCGTATAGGGAAAGAGAGTCAGTGGTCTACAGTAAGGAACCGAAATTAGTGGCCGAAGAGTTTAATCATTTCTTTTCCACCATCGGTGTGAATGCAGCAAAGAAAGCCTCAACACTAATACAGGATCCTAGTGTTTATCCAGCTCGGAATCTTTCTGACGTAAATCGCACAGATAACAGCTACCCTGAAGAAAATGATAGATTTAGTTTCACCCCAGTCTCTTGTTCAGAAATAAGGAACATCATATTAGCTATGCCGTCAAACAAATCACCCGGCAAAGACAAAGTGAGTATGCGTGTCATCAAACACAGCCTACCGGTAATTCTTGGGCCCCTCACCGATATCATTAACTGTTCACTGTCGTCTTCTTCGTTCCCTATAGCATGGAAAGAGGCAGAAGTTATCCCTTTGTTAAAGGATGGAAACCACGAGGAAGCATCAAATAACCGCCCACTTTCTCTCCTTACCTTTCTTTCGAAAATTTGTGAAAAAGTCGCCTTGAATCAATTTGGTTCGTATCTAATGAAGAACAAAAAATTGTCAACCCACCAGAGCGGGAACAAGAAACATCACTCATGCGAAACATTGAATCTTTTGACCGGAGATACTATCCTAAAGGCCATGGATGGGAAATTGGTTACTGCACTGATTCTAATAGATCTATCTAAAGCTTTCGACAGTGTAAATCATACTTTTCTCCTTACAAAACTTAGCAACGTCGGGGCTTCTCCAAGCGTTGTAAAATGGTTTGAGAGTTACTTGACCGGAAGAACTCAATCAGTCAGAATTGGATCAACTGTGTCTACTCCTCTCCCTGTTTCTTATGGTGTACCACAGGGTGCAATTTTATCACCTTTACTTTTTAGTATTTATACTAACGATTTGCCCTCATCAGTCCACCATAGTAAACTTGAATCGTACGTGGACGACTCCAAGATATTACTATCTTTCACTGTAGCTAACGTGGACTGTTTAAAGCAACAACTTGAGGAAGACTTGTATTTGATTGCAAACAGTTGTTCCGAAAATGAATTGCTTATTAACCCGGGAAAGACCAAATACATGCTGATTGGCACACGGCAAAACCTACAACAACTTCCCGTAGATATGACCATAAACTTCCTCAACGAGACAATTACCCCGTCTCCTTTGCCAAAGATCTAGGAATGACAATCGACTCTTATTTGACATATGACCAGCACATCACCAACCTAATTTCCTCATGTATGAATTCCCTGTGCCAAATAAACCGAGTCAAAAAATGTTTCGATAAAGAAGCTTTAACTCTCATCGTCTCGGCACTTGTAATGAACAAAATGTTCTATTGTTCAACGGTTTGGTCAAACACTTCGTCTACCAACATTAAGAAACTACAGTTGGTACAAAATTTTGCATGCAGGATAATAACAAATATTGGAAAGTTCGACCATATTTCGCCGGGCTTACGCGAACTTAACTGGCTCCCAGTAAAGGAACAATTACTACTAAGAGAGGCTATTATGATGTACAAATGTGTCAATGAACTTGCTCCACATTATTTGAGCGATTTATTCACAAAACGTTCTGACATTCATCAACGAGATACACGTAGCCATGACTCACTGCAAATACCATTGTACAAAACTTCTGCAGGTCAAAGGTCTTTCCATTATAGAGGCGTTACACTCTGGAATGATTTGGACATAAAGTACAAAAAGTTAGACTCCCTAAAAACTTTCAAAAACGAATTGAAGCGAAGCATGCTAGAACAAATATATAAGTAGATAATTTTACCTTGTTAAACTTTATACAAATGTCTTACCTTTTTACCTTAATTTAAATTCTAGATTCTAAAACTTGTAAATAGAACAACATTTATTTTTTGTAAATCAGTGTTGAAAATCCCTATTTAGGGAACACAATAAAGTATGTATGTATGTATGTATACCGACAAAGGAAAAAGGTCGCTTCGTGCGAGAAAATTCGCTAGTGGAAAACCGACTGTATTGCCTCTTTTATAGAACAGTATAATAAGCAACAACAACAACAACAACAACAACAACAACAACAACAACAACAACAACAACAACAACAACAACAACAACAACAACAACAACAACAACAACAACAACAACAACAACAACAACAACAACAACCGCACCACCAAACAAATTTAATTACCTAATTATGATTTCAATAATATTATGTTTTTGGACTAGCTGCCAGAAGTGAAGATACTGTATTCGAAAAAATTTGCATTGCTGCATGTGTGGTTTCTTTGATGCATGCTATTCGTGATATTCGGTTTGAATTCAATTATTCAGGAGGTCAATTTTGGTTTCTTCAGTGGTAATCTTTAGCCAATCCAGTTTTGCCGACTGAGATAACAATTTGCCGATTAGCTGACGTGTGGGGGTGGGGGGGGGTTCCACCTCCCCCCCCCCCTGTAGTGCCGCCCCTGGAGGAACGCAAAAGCAATGTTGGCTACTAGCGAAGCTCGGAACAAATGTTTGACAGTCAGACTTCAGACTTCGGACTTCAGACTTCAGACTTCAGACTTTAGACTTTAGACATCAGACATTGGTTCCGAGCTTCGCTAGTAGCCAACATTGCTTAGTTGCGTTCCTTCTCTTAGAATCACTTTGTTTTTGCTTTATTCTTTAGTTTATACAGTTAGCTACTTTTTAAATGCATCTGCCGGTTGAGAAACATAAAATCATAGTTAAAAATTGTCAATTAATATACAATTATCAATGATGCTTTAAAATTTACGCCATATTTAAGCTGAGCAATATAAGCAAAACTTACTGAACTTCACTACATAATTTTCTCTTTGGCGTAGTCTAAAATCTTTTCAATTTAGCATTATTTTACAGATAAAGCACTAAACATACTTTTTAAGTTTGTTGGCGATTGAGAAACGTTTCGAAAAATAAAAATTGAGTCATAACTAGCTCAAGTGGTATATTATACGCATTAGTTTTGAGCGCGTGTTATACTTAACTTGATAAATTTACAGAATAAAGTTAATAAATTTACTGCAGTAATAAATGTATTATATGTTTTATCGTTCTGCCTTTAAACCTGCAAAGAACTGTCAGAACTCACTGACACATTCCAACAGTCTGTATTTGCAATCGGCTAAATCATTCGGACCATTTTTGACTTTAGTTTGAATAGCTTTGGCTGAATAAGTGCCTTAAATATTAGCCAGCTTCGCAGAAGAAATGTTTGGAACCAATGTTTGAAGTCTGAAGTCTGAAGTCCCTTCACGGCTTCCGTAAGTCTATTTCCTAAAAGAATTAAAAACTAAATTAAAATATTGTTCGTAAAAATTCCAAACGTTCCTTGCGTGCAAGCTATTCGCATGACAAGGCACTGCAAACTCTATTCAGGGAAGATACTAGAGTTTCAAAACTTTACAATTGCTCCAATAAACCAGTGAATGCAAGCGAGGAGCGATTAGTTTTAGAGTGTTGCACTGTCTTTTTCTATTTGAGTGTACTCCTACGTTTATTTTGTATCATCAACACTCTGCACGTTGGAGTGGACTATTTAATTATTTATTTAATATGCCGAATATTGGGGGGGGGGGGGGGGGAGGGGTGGACATTATGTTTGGGGTTATATAATATTGGGGTGGTAGCACCCCCCTGCACCCCCCCCCCCAGAAAATCCGTCTATGCATGGTGATAACAACGCATTCTGTTCTTTATCAGCCTTCACTTTACTTCTGTGGTGATTTAAATCTTTCCTCTAGATAAAGTAGAGAATAATAATAATGGAAACTTTATTGAAATTATATACGTATATATACAATTATAAATCTCACTAATTTAGGTAATTTATAATTGACTACTTGAACCTACTTAATATTTATATATTAATAATGAGTATCCTTAAATGTTCAGTAATTCCGGATTTAACCAGTCCTTATCTCTGCAGCAAAATATATAATATGTTGTCCTAATCGCGATAGACATAATTTTCCTGATAGCGAAATGTTGGTGTCTTTTATCAAGACCTAGATCATTTAACATATCTAAAAAGGAATGACATTCTTTTGAGAAAACGCCTAAAGAACTAATTGACAAATTTACAAATTTTACGGACTTAAATTGTTTCTTTTGCTGTGTAATGAGATCTTCGTATCTTCTTCTTTTCCGATCAACATTTGTTTGTAGATTAGACTCATAACCAACAGAAAGTTCAAGGATATAGAGACAATCCGAGTTGATAGATAGAAGTAGGTCTGGGCGGAATGTGTCACCAGTTACAATTGATGGGCTTTTATAACCAGGAAGATCGACGAAAAGATTGGAGTTGTTTACAGGTTGTAGCGTTTGCGCTATGAAGTTCAGAACAGAATCATGTCTCCATGTAAATCGTGGGAGGTACGTTTGACATCCAGCAACTACGTGTAAAAGGGTTTCAGGGTTTAAGCAGAAGGAGCAATCAGAGTTGGACAATATTCCCCATTTAGTAAGGTTTTTACGAGTTGGAAGTGAGTTATTAATGTAACGAATGGTGAAGTTATAGATGTTCTTTGGGAGGTTTGATTGGGATTTAGACCATATACCGTTTAGTTTCGACAGTGAAAACTTAATGACATTTGAGAAGAAGGAGCCTTGCAAAATCAGATGATTCTGCAGTTTCTCTTTCTTGTCCGGAGGTATAATAATAATAATAATAATAATAATAATAATAATAATAATAATAATAATAATAATAATAATAATAATAATAATAATAATAATAATAATAATAATAATAATAATAATCTGTTTAATTAATCACATTGCAGTAGAGACTGAATTACATGATTATAAGTAAATACATTAAAAATTAAATTTACAGATAAAATTGAGTTCAAACCGTTCAATGTTCGTTCTGAATAGTCAGTTTAAATCTGTCCACAAATTATAATTGGGTACCTGAATATACACGAGTACTACTAAATCTATAATACATTAATAATTATATTTAACAGTTATAAAATTTTGAAACCGTTCTGTGTTCGTTTGGAGTGACCAGCTTGATTCGGACCTAAGATTATAATTATGAGTAGCTGGATGTATACGAGTTGCAACAACATCCTTTAGAGGATTTATAGGACCATTGTCAAGCTTCAATTTCCGGATAAATTGTTCGCAGGAATTATGTCTACGTGTACTTAACTTTTTTAGACCAGTATAATTCAATGCGTCTTGATACGACATTTCGGGAAGCAAGATACGTAATGCACTTCTCTGTGTCGATTCGATAAGGTCAGACTGGCCTTGG